ACGAAGCCGCGAGGAGCGGCGCCGGGGCCGCGAGGGTGGGGCCGCGGGGTCGCGAGGGTAGGGCGCCGGGGCCAGCAGAGGCGGCGCCGGGGCCGCGAGAGCGGCGAGAAGGGGCCGTGAGGGCGACGCGACGGGGCCGCTAGGGGCAGTGAGAGGGGAGCGCGACTCGGGCAGGGGCGGAGTGCGCTCCGGGCAGGAAAAAAAAAGTCGGTGGGCCCTAGGAACAGTTCCCACGAGGGAACCTGCTCTATACCATGTGAACTATAGAACGAGAATGAATGTCACTAACAAGAATGGGAGTACAAATATGAAACCCTAGAGTTCTGTACCCCCTAAGGCTAAACCCACTGTAGCCTACAAAGCTACAACATGCATAATGTTCGACAGCACTCGTTCAGCAGGGACTGTAGGATGTGATTCACCTCCGCATGGAACGTGGCTGGCATGCTGCAGAGTCCGAACGGCATCACTAAGTATTCGTAGGAGCCGTCTATGGCATGGAACGCCGTCTTGTGGATAGAGTTGTCCGCCATCGTGATCTGCCCATATCGCGACAGTACGTCCAGCTTGGTCTAGAAGATCATCAATGTGCAATATGGGGTATTTGTTTTTTACTGTCTGTTTGTTCAGTGCGCGGTAGTCGATGCACATCCATAAACTAACGTCCAGCTTTGTAATGGAGAGAACCGGTGCACTGTAGGGAGAGGTGGATGGGTGGATCAGTTGATTGTCCAGCAGATATTCAATCTGTTTCTTCATGTCTGTCAGTTCGGTCGGACTAAGGCGGTATGGTGCACGTGAGACGGGTTTTGCACCTGGTTCCTCCACGATCTCGTGCTCGTGGGTTTGCGCTGGAGGCAGTCGTGCAGGTAGGTCATCCGGCATGATGTCCTTATACTCTGTTAACACCTCCTGTACTGCTGCAGGTAGCTCCGAGTTCGGCTTCTCCTCCTCTGCTGCTGCCATCACCAGTGCTAAGTAACCCGTGTTACTCTCATTCACCATTTGTTTGAACGTGCAAGTGTCGTTTCAGGAACATCCCCTGTATCCGTCCAGCTTCGCAGCTCACAGGTTTCCCGTTGTTGTAGATGCATACCTTCCGCTTGACCCAGTCGATCTCAGGGTTGAACCGCTTCAGGAAATAATGCCTTAAGAAAAAATTCAATTCCTTGATGTCTGTGATCGTTGGCTTCCATCTCAACGTTGGCTTCCATCTCGATGCACCTATGTGCAGTTGCTGTATTGACTCGCCGTGGATGGGAAGCTTCGTACCGTCCACCATCGTTGCTGTGAACTGGGTCTCCTCTGAGGAACTTCTCTCCAATTTTCTCCAACGTCCCGCGGCCGCACACCGATTGGGATGCACCAGTGCTTGGAGGCGTCACCCTTTGCACAATACCTCAAGGAGTAGTGGTTTCTGCTGCGCTGAGTAGCCAAACATAGTCTCGCTAATAGGGTCATAGGGTACATCAAAATATCCGTAACCCCTATTTCCTATACCTGACTCAGCACTTTTAGCTTTCGCCTTTACCTAGGGGGTAGAAGGATCTTTTCAAGGCTTTAATACCTTCTCCTGAGCCTAGAACCCCCCCCTAAGCCTTTGGAGTTGTATAGGCTTCACCTCTAAGAAAAGGGAAGCCATAACACGGTGGTGTGGGGAGAGATTGTTAACTCATCGGAACGCACGACCCTTTTCAACGCTCCGGAGTTGATTTCCCGATTTCTCAGGTGCTTGAATAATCTCTAATGGCTGTTTCTTAGCCTTTTCTTCTCCCCTTATTATTTCAAAGGCTCGAAAACCACAAGAAGCAATATTCTTAGTTAAAGTATTTTCATATGTTAACTTTAACGAATTCTTATTCTCGGGGGTGTTTGGCTGGAGTTTCCCGATCATTGTAGAGTCTTTTTTTGCGGAGCCTCCATTTGCCTCGGCAATTTCCATGGTGCCGGCCGGTCGTGACGTTTTAAATTCGCGCCATCATTTTCTCCTTTTTTCGCCCGCTCCGAAGTCGCCACATCATCACCTTTCCACCCCCCCCCCCCCTTTTTTTATTATTTTCGCGATCACCAGGTCGATCCGCGGCTATTGGCGATTCTTGTTTTTTTCACTTTGGGGGTGCTGCACTGTTCCTGACCCGCAGCTCTGATCGTGCCTTTTCATTTTCCAACACGACACATCCGATCTCCGGCTGTGCCGCAAATTTCGCACGTCTCGGATTTTGCCGTCCGCTGCTTCGCGTCGATCTTGTCGATATCCATCGGGTCGGCGATCGTGAGGGTTGCCGATCGCTCCGTGCCGAAATTCCTATTCGGCCTATTGCGTTGTGTGTCGGGTTGACCTCGAGTCAACGCATCAAATCGTTCAGCTGCGCAGACCATGTCGCATAGTTACTGTAGTTCGCTGCGATCACCTGTCGGGGGACTTCGTTTTTTAGCCCCTTAGTGTACGCTTGGATTTTTTCGCCTTCGGTCAGGTCAATAATTTATTAAGAATATTCTCCATCTGCTGCGTATATTGCACCACACTGCCGAACTGTTGGTGCCGTTGAATCTGCTGCCGCGCCATGTAGCTCAAAATGATCGGATCGAAACGTTTAATTAAGGCTGCCCGCAACTGCGCCCACAAACCCTTCTTGGGTTTTTTTCACTGCTATAAGTTTACTTGAGAGTCGGGCCTCACAATAGTGTCGCTGCGAGCCGAATCCGCACGACATCATTTGTCGGGGCCGTACAGACGACAACCTTGAAATAAATTTTGAAGGTTGCGATGAATCGTCGGACGTCCGATCCCTTCGCGCTAAGATAAAACGCCTCCGGTAGCCTCGGACGTGCCGCCTCAAGATTCAGAGTAAATGCCGTTGCTGCTGTTTGAAATGTCGGTGTCGTCGCTGCTGCTATTGCCATCGCTGCTGCATTCGCTGCTGCCGAGGCGGCTGCCGACTGGTTGACGAATAGTGCCTCAATTCGCTGGAGTGCTACCCGCGTCTGATCGATGTCGTTGCGAAGGGTTGCGACTTCCTGTACAAAGTTGTCGCCCTAGCTCTCAGTGCCTATTGACATCGCGTCCGAAAACCGAAACTGAGGGGGACCAAAAAAAAAAAAAAAAAAAAAAAAAAAAAAAAAAAAAAACTGGTTTGACGCACCCAAAATCGGCGCTTCTCGTTCGCAGCCCCCGCAATTTTTTAAGACTGGTTTTTAGTGGTAAAAAAAACTTCGCCTACAAACGAGCTCTAAATGTGAGGATCGAGGAACTGGTTCAGAATGGATTGATTGATCACTTGGGCACAACACGAGGCTGTACATATTCTCGACATAAGGCAAGGTAACCAGGTGTTACGCGAAGGTTTCGAGGGTCGCGAAGTGTCCCAAATGGAGCCTTCCCGAATTCGGTAGAAGTCGTTCCGTGGAAACCGAATAGCACGAATTCGGTGCACACAATCCTCGTTCGGTGCTATAAGTATAATAAAATATAGATAAGCACCCAACTTAGGAAATCAAGCAAATGCATGCATTATAAAATAAACCTACGCTAGATAAAGCAAAATAAAGAAAACGCAATCAAGTAATGCCTAGCAAAGCTGTCGTCCTCTCACAGCGGTGGAGAAGTCCAGTGAGTACAGCTCGTAGTGACGCTGTGCTACTACGTATGGGTGGCCCGAAGATTAGTCATCTTTCGGGTGGGGTCAGGAAGAAGTTTGCCCCCTCTCCCTCACTGAAACCTTTTATCATGTATTGCGCCTTGAATACGGATGGCGATCCAGGTGGCCGATTCACTTTATAAATCTATATGTCATCAACTATGTTCACCCCAGGAGGAAGAACTACATCGACCCAAGTGCAAATGGACCTCCAAGATGCCACCTCACCACCCATGGCTGCTATCCACTGAGAGGCCTATCCTGAGATTGCCTCATTCTAAGTGCGAGGAATTTGGATGTCAAAAGCATTTGGGTCAACCTCATGAGCTAACAGTATCGCATAAAGTTGAGGGGTAGCGGAAACCGGGACACTGGCGGAACGGAGTAAAGCAAGCGTTGTCGAGTACCATATCTGGGCCCGATACGTTAGAAGGGCACACTGAACCGAGCCAAACGGAAATTGGAGCCTGTATCCCGGCCATCCAGCCTTGTTGCGGAGGTGGTTGATAGGAAGAAGGTAACCAGCCGGAGTAGCAAAGGGAGGTGTGTCCCTCCTTCTGTACGGCCTTGAGAATGAGGTGCTTTCGTCCTAGGTGCCGGTCTGGGGAACTCCGACTCTCCCGAAAGGAGGGTACAACGGTGACCCATGTCCTAGCAAAACCACCCTGGGACTCGCATCAAGCTCTCTTGGAATTGTCAAGAAACGAGACTGCGATGGGATGCGGTTGGCAATGACCCGACGATCAGGGCAAAGACTCCTCTTGCTCGGCCTTGCCGAGTCGAGGGAGCATCGTGAGGAACAAGCTGTTTGCTGACGCGTGAGGGGCCACTTTTTAAGCAGCCTACCAGCGTGGTAGGAGAGCGGTCGGTGCAACCTACTTTTTCAAGTAGGAGGTGGGCACAACCGTTCGGCGGCAGTGGTCACGAGCCGGTCATGGGGGATTGAGTATTTGGATAGCTCCCTGCTCATGAAACCCGGCTTATTACGACACGGGGTCGGTCGAACTCGAACATGTTCGAGTTCGCCCCCTGTCGAACATCTCCTTCTGCCGAACCGAACAGTGTTCGGTTCGGCGAACTATTTAGGCGTTGGCAGGTGTTCGTCGTTCGCACAAGGGGGTGAACGATTTGTTTCTGCGGGCGAACCCGAACATGTTTGAGGCGAACATGTTCGAGTTCGCCCAGGGGGAAATTCGTTTTAGTCACAGAGATCAGAAAGGGGATTTTGAGGGCCGGGAAGATAGATAGGAGTTTGCAGGGTATGTAGGTATCTGAAAACACACACTGTACTACCACACCATCATGTTTCGTGAATATACGTGTCACTGTCAAATAAAATCCTACGCCTGAGCGCTACTGCTACTACCAACAAAAGCATCCTCCCCGCCAGCTGTGTCGCCAGCACCCACACCCTCCTCCGCCTCCTCCTCCCTCCTCCTCCTCCTCCTCCTCCTCCTCCTCCTCCTCCTCCTCCTCCTCCTCCTCCTCGTCCTCCTCCTCCCCCTCGCCTTCAATGGCAAAATCTGGTAGTGCGACGCCTCTTGCACAACGGCCCTCGCCTATCCTCTGGCCAGGGTGTGAACTGTACCATGATCTGAGAATCATGACAGCTCGCGTCCTCTGAGAGGCCAGGCGGTGCCGCTTCCAGGAGATGAGGTTGCGGCCAAGAGAGAACACGCGCTCGCTCGAAGCGGACGTGGCAGGGATGGCAAGATAATCCCGGGCCATGCGCCTCAGCGTCTGCATGTTGGTGGCGGTGCGCCAGTACTCCAACGCTGTCATGTCGCACCGCACCCTCCTGGACAAGTACCTGCTAACCTCGTCATCCTGCACCATCCCGCCCCTCCCCGCCTCCTGGCTCGCTGACAGACGCGCCGCAAGTCGTCTCCGACTAGGGAGACACTGCGCGTCTTCGTCGTCATCCGCCTCGTCCCCCTCCTCTTCCTCCGTCACGGGGGCAAGTGGGGTCGGCCGGGGTGCAAGCGCTGCAGCCCGGGCCAGGTACTCGGCCACGCGGTCGCGTACTAGCTGGATCACCTCGCCTGACGTGGGCCGCGGCCTCACCCTCCGCTCGGTCTCGGGATGCAGCGTCTCCCAGTGCGCGTCGTCAAACCACGCCGCCTTCGTGGAAGGGTCCAGGAAGGTGGCAATCCACAACTCGTTGTTGGACATCAGTTCATACTTCTTCAAGAGACCCAGCGCCGCCTCAATCATCGGCTTCAGCGTAGCCGATGGCCCCTTGGCAAGGCGCGACTCCATAGCGTCGATCAGGCCGTTGTAGTACGGGACCACCATCGACACTGTAGGGTACGCCGCCCCCTCTGCCGCCTTTGAAACTTTGGCGAATGGGCTGAGGAACGTCTTGACAGCATGCAGGGTCTCCCAGTCTGCGTCCGTCAGGCACAGGCTCTCCACCTTCTTGTCAGCCTTCGACAAGCCCTGTCGGGTAGAGGGGTTTGGTTTGGCGGGTGGTAAGAGGGAAACTGGGGTTATGGAGGTTGTTGGGGTCCGATAACATACAATAAGCATGGCCAACAGTGTTATATGGAAGTGCTAAAACACAACACCACGACATACCCACACATTGAACCCCTCACACAACACCTATCACACACACCTGTGTCTGGGCAAAGAAGACAGTGATGGGTTCCTGCAGAACCTCGGCTCGCTCGACCATGTCGTGGGTCGACCCCCAGCGCGTGGGACTGTCCTGCACCAGCTTCAACGCCGGCTTCGGTTTGGCGGGGTTGGCCTGCGTGTTCAAGGTCCGCTGAAGGCCCAAGAACTTCCTTGAGCGCTGCGGCGAGAAGCCAATCCACGAGGCCATCTCTCTCAGAACCTTCAACAACTTGCGGATGGCAGCCACAGCGAGAGCTGCCTTCACTGCAAGGTTGATCACGTGTGCCAAGCACCTGCGCACGGAACAGAGCATTAATGGCAGAGAGAAGGGGAAGTGTGAGTACACATGGCCATAGCGATCCACAAACCCATTCCAGACCCCACCCACCCTACAAGTCGAGCCGCACTGGCCCACCCGCCCATACAACCACAAGTTGTTCACGCGGGAACGACACATACAAACTCCCACATAGCGAGCCCACGCACACTCCCATTCTTATCGGAAGTGCATGCGCAAGTTGAAGAAGCACTGACCACCACCCTCCTCCGACAGCCGTCTTAAAGCGACAATGTTGCTAGAGGCGTTGTCTGAGGTGAAACCCAGGCAACGCCCCTCCAGCCCCCACTGCACCACCGTGTCCTCAACCACCCTCGCCATCTCCTTGCCCCCATGCCGCCCGTGCATCTCGTGGAACTCGAGCACCATTGTGCGCAGCTGGAAGTTCTCGTCTATCCAATGACCTGTCACCACTATCCACGCCCTGTTGTTGGGTGCCGTCCACATGTCGATGGTGATCGGCACCTTGCACCCCAACTCCCCCTCCTTCGCCAGCATCTCCGCAATGGCTGACTGAAGAGCGGCTGCTGCATAGACCACAGTGTCGCGGGAAACCGTCCAGCGCGAGGGGATGAAGTTCTTCTGCGCGCATTGGCGGTTTAGCAGGATCAATAGCTCCCGAAACTGGAGAAAGGGTAGAGACATCGAGGGAGGTAGGAAACCGCGTGCACATTGGAAACCGCACATGGCCGCAGGGGAGAGAGTAGGGAAGGGAGAGATGGCAGCGATGCGAGAAAGCAGGGAAGGGAGACATGGCAGCAAGGGATAGAGCATTGAAGGGAGATATGGCACATAGGGAGAGAGCAGTGAGGGAGACATGGCAGCAAGAGAGAGACAATGTAAACCAGACATGGCATTAGTGTATTGCGTTGGGGGGGAAACATGGCAGCAGGGGATAGAGTAGGGAAACCAGACATGGCAGTAGGGGAGAGAGCGGGGAAGGGAGAGATGGCAGCGAGGGAGAGAGCAGGAGAGGGAGACATGGCAGCAGGGGAGAGAGTAGGGAAGTGAGGGATGGCAGCTAGGGAGAGAGCAGTGAGGGGAGACAATGCGTTCAGGAGAGAGAGAGAGAGAGAGTATGTAAACAAGACATGGCTGCAGTGTGTGGAGTGGGGCACTCTCTCCCCTACCACACTGGATGGGGCACTCACAGCCTCGGCCTCGACGATGCGGAAGAGGAGGTCGCAGGTGACCACCAGCTTGGCGATCGCCTGCCGTAGCTCCACCGAGGTAAGCTTGGTTGTCATGAACCGCTCGATCCCGCCCGACCCCTGACCTCCACCATCCGCCTTCCCTTTCTTCCTGGCGAGATGCGGCCAAGTCTTTGCATGCGACCACTACTCGACGTAGCCATCCGGCACACCTTTGTAGCCCCCACGGGGAAACGTCTCCCCTGGCAACTGAACGGACGGGGTGTGGTAAAGGTGGTACCACACGTGCATGTGCGTTGTGTGGTAGCTCTCGAAGTGCCGCTCGCCGGGTGTTGTTGTGGATTGCTTCCACAAAATCCTGTCAGTGCAAATCTTGCACTGACGCTTCTCGTCTGTCCCTTTCGGTCCGAACATCTGTACTTGCCACCTCGGTTTCCTGTTCCCCACCTTAGCAGTCCCCTTACTACTCTCGGACCCTCCGTCCTCATCTAGGAACTCCGGAGCGATCACACCCTCGCCCAAGGGCGCCCCAGTGAACGTGCAGGGATACGCACGCTCCCTCAACTTGGTCGCCCTCTTCCTTCGCCTCGGCGCCTTAATAGACGCGGCCTTTCTCCCCACTTTAACCCCCACGCTCCCTCCGCCTTCACGCACATGCTGTGATCCCGCCTCTGTCGTCGCCCCTCCACCACCCTCTCCCACCTCCTCCTCCACCTCCTCTGGCTCCAACCCATCCATCTCATGGTCTTCATCATCATCCCCCCCCTCCCCACCGCCATGCGTCTCTGGGTCCCACCCGGCCTCACTGTCATCCCCGCTCCCCTCGTCATCCTCATCCTCCTCCTCTTCCTCCTCCTCCTCATCCTCCTCCTTACTGCCACTCTCCGGCCGCGTCTGCCCTGAAGGAGGGGGTCGAGGGTCGTCGTAACGGAAAGAGTGACGAGATGTCGGCGCCGCTAAGAAAAGAAACCCCCCCACGAAGCAAGCGCCGGCTCCTCCAGGTCCATCCCCTACTCGCCCCTCCGTAGGTCGTGGTGGGGAACCTGGTGCGCCGCCCTGAGCGCTGCCTGCACCTCGTGCTAAAGATCCACCATGGCCGGAAGCCATAACTCCGCCCTCGGCCCTAAAACCCTAAAACCCCCTCGAAGCAACGGTCGCTTTCGTCGTGTAGCACGGTCCTAAACGTATTCCAGCACGTGTAGGTTTCTGAAATGCCCGACCCGATCCCTACGGCTTTGACCACTCGCTGCTTGATCCCTATGCTACTCAACCGTGAAGTTACCCTAAACAGACTAAACTACGGGAAAGCCTAGATCTAATCTCCGTGTAGATTAGTGGTAACGGTGTGTGAAAGCTTCTAAAACAACAAGGCTAGGGCGGTTGTGAAAGGGAGGGATAAGCTGTAAAAGCGGTTTGAGTTTGAGCTCACGAAATGAGCTCAAACACAAAACGGTCGCGACCTAAATTTGGTCGCGGCCAAGTTTGACGCGAACACTTTGATGTTCGTGGGGCCCCCAATTCGAACACGAACGTGTTCGTGTTCGACTTGGGGGCCCCAAATGTCAGTGTCGAACGGCGAACATGTTCGGCCGAACACCGAACATATTCGGCCCGAACATTTTAGGAAAAAAAACAAGCCTATTTCAGGAATTTGCTCATCCCTAGCACAAACTACTTGTCCTCTAGGATGTTATAGCCAAGGGTAATACTACCCCTCAGACTAACTAAGCAGCGTCGCCAAGGCGTTAGGTAGAGGCAAGTCAGTGACAGCAGCAACAAGAGCGGAGATAGATGGTGGAGTCGTAGGGTCAGTAATTAGGAAGGAAAGGGCACGAGCATCTGCAAGAAAAGTGGCATGAAGGAAGTCAAAGAACGGAGGGAAGACAGTGAGACACGTCAGAGGAGGAGAGGGGAAGACAGGAAGAGAAGCACGAGAAGGAGAAGAGCGAAAGCTTATTTAATGAAAGCCAGAAACAAGAGACGAGCTGTGAGCATGAGGGGACCAACAAGCAGTCCAAGAGGAAGAGGGATGATTGGTTCAAGGAGGAGAGGAGGAGACAGCAAATAAGGAGGAAAACGACATGGAGCCGCGTCCGCAAATGGTAGTGGGGCAGTGGGAGGGTGGTCAGTCGAAGGAACAATAAGACCAAGTTGAAGACAAGTCACTGGAGGTTACGCCGCCTACTGCTACTTGTATTGGTACTGCTGCTGCTACTGCTGATGCCGTCTCTGCTGCTGTTGTTGTAGCCTCTCAGATTGACACGGGGCCACTGCACTCCCGGATTTCGCATCTCCTCCACCATAACTCCCACAACTTGTACCTCCAGTGCCAACACTCCCAGAGCCAACACTTCCAGCGTCTGCAACACCAGCGCCAATGCCACCAGCGTGAGACAAAGCTAACGCCTCCAGCGTTGGTACCCCCAGAAGCAGCACCACCAGTGTCAGCACCCCTAGGACCAGCACCACCGGATAGTGTCGTTCAAACCCCAAGAAGACAATCAAACTCATTCGCCCTTGCCCACCTGAAACCGCCGACCATCGCGTGTCTCATTTTGCAGCTGTGACATTTTGGTGAATTGATCGATTTGTCCTTGTTCATTGATCATCTAGACATTTCAATACAGTGCTCCAATAGCTTCTCTACTCTATCTACTTATCTCTTGCCTTGCAGTTTCAAAATGGAGTCATTCGCCCCTCGTCAATGCACATCTCGAGCTTTCGTCGTGTTGCTTCATGTGCTTAAGGTTCCAACATGCAGACGAAGAGGTAAGGTGCAAGAGGACATTATTGTCGCACCACGGACCCTACCTGAACCGCTGCGCCCAACCAGCTGTTGATTAACAGGCGTGTGCGTGTTTCATTGTTCAGGCCTTTTCCCCGGCCCACAAATTTTGCCGAACAAACCCATCCCACTTAGGACCATAAATATAAAGTCCCTCGACAACGAGTCGAAAGCTGTCGACTAGTCCTCTTCCCCATTCTTTGCTGCTTCAATGACGTCTACAACCAGCCCAATTGCGTCAAATATTCTTCTTCTTGGGATAAAACCGTATTGATCCATCGGTATGATACAGTGAAGCACTTGTTTCATCATGTTGGCTTGCCGGAATCTTTTATGAAAAAAAGAGAAGCGTAATCGGTATGTAGTTGTTAAGTTGCTCCTTGTCACCCTTTTTATTAAGAAAATGAAAAATGAAAAATAAAAAATGGTTACTTGCAAAAAGAGAGGCGGTGGACTCGAAATCTCTTGCCAATTCTCCCCCAACATATCCTAGTGATTTTCAAAAGGCTCATTCGGCAAGCTGTTGTTTTCTCACGACTTGCTATTTGCCAACGCTGTGAATGCATGTTTCACCTCTCGCTCAGTCCAAGCCTCCTCTAGTGCTGTCGCTAAGGCAATACCTTACTTTTTTCAGGCCACGACGTCCAGCTTGTTGATGATGTCCTACCATCTTTGCCGAAGAGGTCTGTAAAGTACTACGACGCTGCTTCCAGGATCCGTTCTGAGCTGGTCACCGTTGTACCAACTACTTGCAACTTTGCGATTTGCGTGCGCTGCTTCCTCGCCTTGATTCTCGCTGAGAAATGAGCTGACAAGATCTTTCCCGAAATTTTTGCTATCCTCCCTGTCATGACTTGCAGGTTGTTTCTCCTTGATTCCTGATATCCAGCATAATTTCAAAACCTCTCCTATCTTGTGTCGATATGTGTGTCATTGCTGCTTCAATGGCTTCTGATCCCTGGCCTCCCCAATGCTGCTAAGTGAAGCCTTCAAACCCAGGATGCGCACTGGTTCTTATCTTAAAAACGACTCTGATGGCAAAGCCGTGGCCTAAGATATAACCTTCCGGCATCATGGGAGAGGCAAGTTCGAGGTGGAGAAAGAGCGAGCATGAGACTAGGGCACTGTCTGTTATAGAGCTGACTTGCTTAGAAACTAAGAAAGTGTTTCTCAGTTGGAACTGACCACATCATGATACTAATCTGTCATTTTTTTTTTGTTGCTCCTGACTTCGATCAACGATCTAAGATTGGATCTTTTACCGTGTTCAGCTCAACAAGCAAGATCAGGTATATAAAGGGTGGAAGCTAATATGCAGTCGGGCCGAGCACGTTCGAGAGAAAGGAACTTCTAGATGTCGCGTCTGTCGAGAAACACGCCACAAGAAGTGTGAGTCAGGGCCGGAACTACTGATCTCTACTACTAGCAGTTTTCCTGAGGGGTGAGTGAGTACACCATGGAGATATAAGGAGTGGTTCTGAGTAAGGACGGCCATACCGCCGACTTAAGTGATTAGCAACGCAGTTATGGCCAAACTGAAGGGTGGGGAGGACCAGTATGGGTGATCGTTGGCTATTTTAGTGTCTGAGAGGATGATGATGTCTGCTGCTTTTCCTAGTCCATTTAGTTACTTGACTTTCTTGTTGCGCTCTCTTAAGCCATCCACATTGAGGCTTGCAAATGAAAAAGGTTCTTGTTACTGATTTAATCAGTGCCTGGTAGCCCCTAGACGTCTACATGCGGAGCTTATCATTGATCAGCATCCTACTACGGCTGATGATGTCTGAACGATCTGTAGGAGCTTTAGAGCCCATACTTCTCCTGTACAACATCGAGGTTTGCCTTTTTTAGAGAGGCCTTGGTGGTTGTTCCAAACTTCTCCAGGTTCAGAATGTGAGAAGCTGCGGCGATGTGTTTCCAAACTGCTATGAGAGTTTTCACCTTCGCTTTCCCGCATCTGGTCTGGGTGGGGAGCCACTCCTCGCAGTTGCTCCTTGTTAGGATGAGGAGTATCGCAAGGTATTTGCGGATTTGTGCAACAAGACGGGAGGTGTGCATGGAGGCAGCTACGAGCAACATAGAATTCTAAATAAGTGGATCAAAGAGAAGGTGATCAACAGATTAGGACGGTTCCATGGTATTTCGATTCATTCAATGAACCTTTGCGAGGAACAGGTTACACTTCCTTATATTGTGGTGCTGCTCTCTGATGAACCGATCATGATGCTTATCACACTGCTGACCACAGCAGAGTGTCGAAAAGAAAAATGCCCCACCCTCGCTTGGGCAAAGTCGGGCCATGCTTTCCAGAGCAGAACGATGTTTAGTCGGCTTCGTTTCGTGGTCATTTGCGACTTCGGAGACTTTTATCTGAGTGTGACAAGTCGTCTGTCGACAAGATTAATTCGTCGAGGTCGAAGTGTTTCTTTTGTTCGATGAACGCGTCCGTCGATGAGGCGCTTGTTCACGGGAGTAAATCGGCGTCGAAGACGCGAGTCGCTGGTCAACGAAATTGTCGAGATTGCGATTTCGACGGAGTGCTGGTCGACGAAAGCTCGACAGGAGCATCGCGAGCATAACGTTTTGCGTCGATCAGTTTAACTGGTTGAGCGAAATTCGAATGTGCGCAAATTTCGACTGAATTTGTTACCGAATTCGCGTGACCCCTCGCGATGTCGTGACCATCTGGACGATAAGTGTCACTTTTGTATAAGTGTATGGTCCGTTCTACCTTGTTGATACCGTCCGGACAGCAATTCGGACCGTCCGTTTTGGTTGCGCTGTCATTAGCGCACGAAGTGGTTGAAAACCTCACCCTGCACCGCGTCGTGTATTTTTGGTGGCGACAATCACGACTGCTGTAATGCATATTAGGGAAAATATGTCAATGGTAACTTACATGGGGCACTGTAACGCGTACGGTAACGATTTCAACGCAATTGGTAACTCGTGTAACGCGTTTGGTAACTCGCTTAACACGTTTGGTCACTCGCTTAACACATTTGGTAACTCTACACTAGCAGCCCATCACGCGAATGGTAACTACATGAAATTCCCGCCGAAATGAGCCCGAAAAAAAGAAATTTATCGAGTTTGAAAGCTTTTACGCACAGTAGTATCCTTTTGAACAAGTCTCGCCGCGAATTTGAAGGACCCCGTTTGTTCTAATACCACGGACCACAAAGTTTCAGGGCCATTTTTTACATATATGTAGCTCGTACAAAAATGGTAAATTTTTATCTTTTCTATAGCATGATTGCGAACTTGCAAAACGATTTAAAAAACATTCCCGAAAGGACCTCGGAAATTTTACTGTTTATAA